ACCCCCCCCCCCCGGTGTCCTGGGAATGTGCCCCTCTGGCCCAGCCGGGATGGAGAAGCAGCGGAGCAGGAGAGTGCCCGAGACCCCGTGGGCCAGGGCATCCGTGAGCAGAGTGTGGGGAGGAGATGTGGGGAGAGCCCTTGCTAGGGGGACCCACTTTTCGGGCCCTCTCCAGCTGCACCAGCTGCAACCCCCTTAAGCCGGCCAGGAAGAGCCGCTCCCGCCTGGGGACTCGGCCAGCTCGGCTGTTGCGGGGAATCCGGGAGAGCGGAGTCCCGAGTCTGGAGGGGGCCGGGCTGGCTCTGCAGGGCTGATGGGAGCGCCCAGGCAGAAGCGGGTTGGCGGAACCGAGCCGGTGAGCGAATCCCATTGGCTGAGCCGCTGCGAGGTCAGAGAATGTTTGTTCGCAGACATTCGCGCCCATGAAGCGGGAGCCGGCTAAGGGGGACCGGACCGGTCAAGGTATGTACCATTTGGGGTCCAGGGAGAAACATGGAATCCCCCTTCCAAAGCCTTGGGGAGGCCCCAATTGAATTGCTGAGTGTGAAATGTCCCATTTCACGCGTGAAACAACTCTTCAGGTGCAAAACACCATCTTAACGTGCCCTGAGCTTAAACAAAACCCCTTTACCCTTGGAATTGAGATCTTCTGAACTGAAACCATTTCCCAAATGCTCCAGACAGCCCACCCGGCCCTCTCAACAGCAGCTCTGCAATTCAAAACGAGGTGTTTTCAATTTGAACTGTTCAGCACACCCCTGATACTAGCTCTCCTTCGTCCCTTTCAGTTTAAGGAAATGTAAAAGCCCAGTGCAGTTTGCTTCCTGGTCCTGCGGCCCATTTTTGCCCTTGGCGGGCCAGGGAAAGATCTGGCCCTCCCAAAAGGGACGTTCTCCCAGGATAAACCCACCTCTGAGAAGACAGAGAATGCGTTGGGGCAAAATTCCATTTTTTGGAAGCGTGAGCGGGGCTGAACGCAGAGGGAAAGGGTACCACCCAGCAATTCCTGGGCCAAAGCGAGGCTGGAGGACACCTATCCAGAGAGTGAGAAGACGACACCAGCAGAACCAGTGAAGTTTCTCTGCTCTGCTACCACCCCTTGGCTTACAGTGAGGACGGCGATGAGTGCTCCCTGCAGGAGGCCAACCAGCACATCGCTCCAGTGGTGCTTGTAGTCCGACACGCGGCTGTAGCCCACGTAGATGGCGAAGGAGAAGAGGAAGAACTGGATCGTCGGGCGCAGCAGCCGAGCCCATCTGCCGACCAGGCGGGCCTGGACGTAAAGCTAGAAACAAAGAGGGCAGGACATGAGAAAGGAAGGGGCCCCGGAGATGGAAGCCGCTGTAGCGCCCTGCCGGAGGACAGCGATCTGGCAAGAGAAGGTCTTCGTTCGCCCAACAGGGCTGAACCTGATGAATTCTGAACCGAGCCGGATTCCGCCAAGCCTTTGAGTCCGAAACGAACCCCAAGGGCTGGATTCGCCCAACGAGGCCATGGGGAATAAGGGGGCACACAAATCAAGCAAGAAAGCAAATAAATAAAGGAAGGAAGGAAGTCAGTAAATAAATAACCATGCAACATCCCCCTCCCCATTTTAAACAAAAGCTAATCAAACTTTGGCCCCCGTCACCAAGGGTTTTTTTTTTTTAGTTGACTTTGTTAGCAAGCATGTGGTGGGAACAGGCCCACTGTTGGTGCCCCAGTTGGTTCCTTGTTAATGGATTAGAAAAGCCAGAAACCAAACCTCCCGTCTGCAGCGGGCAAAACCAGCGCTCTGTGACTGAGCTACCAATTCTGCTGCTGAATGGCGGGACTTGCTTTCCATCAAAGTTCTGGGAAGTTTATCCAGGAAGGTGCATGGTCAGAGATAATAACCTTGCCCCCCGCCCCAGCCTCCAACCCCAAACATGGCATTCTGAAATGGCAGAGCCAGGAAAACTCTAACTTCTGATCAAATTGTCCGTGCACGCAGAAAGGAACTTGGTGGCTGCGTTCACACAGCACCCTTTAGCAACTGACTGAATTAACCCATTATCTGCGGTTTGCATGAGGCACCAAACCACATGGCTGCCTTTGCCCAATACACAAAGGCAAATACAGGCAGTCCTCACTTAACAACCATTTGTTTAGTGACTGTTTGAAGTTACAAAGGGACTTACAACCGGTCCTCGCACTTACAACCATCGCGGCACCCCTGCAGTCACGTGATCGCGATCCGGGTGCTTGGCAACCGGCTTGCACTTACGACGGTTGCAGCGTCCCAGGGTCACATGATTACCATTTGCAGTCTTCCCAGCTGACTTCCAGCAAGCAAAATCAATGGGGAACCGCGTGATCTGCTTAATGGCCACGGTGATTCGCTTAATGACCGCTGCGAAAAAGGTTGTAAAATTGGGTGTGACTCACTTAACAACCGCCCTGCTTAACAATGAATTTTCCAGTCCCTATTGTGGTTGTTAAGTGAGGACTACCTGTAAAGAAAATTAACCAAGTTGAATAGCTTGTGTGAATGCAGCCACTTTCACTGATCTGGTTAGAGATGAACCAGTCACTGACTCAGATCATTAGCCTACTTTCCTCAATGTCATCTATATATTGATTAGCAGGGTTTTTCCACATTTCCAGTCTTCCCTGGAATACTGAATGGGGACCTTTGAATGCCAGGTAGTGTGTGGGCCCTGAAGTTGGGCCTCTTTAATAAAAATAAAGACAGACCCCTGTGTTCCTCCTTATTACAATCAGGGCTTGATACAGAGAGGCAGCTGGTTTATATTCACACAATCCACTAGCCCCTTAACTGACCTGGGTTTAATGTGAAACCAGTTATGCGGTTGGTTCCTGGATCCGCCTTTCCTGCTCTGAGCAGTATCGGCAATTCAGAATTTAGGTAGAGAAAGTCTTTAGGTAGGGAAAGCAGAACATCTGCTCCCTAATTTTTTAAAAGTGTTTTTAATTATTTATCTTTTTTAAGAACCAGCTTTGGGAACTCAGTCCAGATCTCCTCCTGATCTGTGGGAACGCTGGCTGTTTGGTAGATCTCCCCAATCCTTCCTCCTTGATCCTTTGACCTGCAAAGGAATCTGCCTCCCTCGGTCCCTAAAGCAGCCCCCACCCAGCTTGGCCTCCCTCCTGACAACCCAGAGAACCCTTTGAGCCCCGCGATTCGCTCACTCACCGCTAAAAACACCATGCAGTACATCCCAAATGAAGAATGTCCAGAATAGAATGATAATCTAGAAAAAAAGAAATATATATATATTTCAATGAATGAATGAATGAATGAATGAATGAATGAATGGATTGGCTGATACTTTCTCCCTCCTGAATGGAGCCTCCCCAAATTCTCACTGCGGAGAAGCTGCGCCTCTTCCGGATCAGACCCGGCTTCAGCTTCTGCCTTGTAATAAAAGTTCTTAGCTGGAAAAGGTGCTACCGGACACTGCCTGATTTTATTGACTGCAACAAGGTGTCCTTCCAAGCTCTTGGCCCCCCACTCTCCTCCTGCCTCTTGGGGTGGGGAACACAATCTTCCCCATCACCCTTGGCTTCTGCTAACCCTTCAGGAAACAGACCCCACGAGGACGACAGGAACCTTACTTTTCTGTTACGGGACATAGTAACAGAATTTTGAAAGCCTGGCACCGTCTCCCTTTGTCCCCTCTTATACCAAAGAGAACCAAGGCAGGGGAATCTTGAGTTTCTTTCCCACCCCTTGTCTTTCCCAGGGCTGAGCGGATGTTTATTCAACCATTCTTACGTTCCTTCTTCAAGTTCATCTCCAGAGGCTCAGCTTCCCTTATTATGGGAAGCGTGGAGAGCCACACCGATGTCCTTGGAGAAATTACACAGACTGTTGGAAAAACATGCTTTAAGCCTGGGAAATGAGAGTGGAAGGATTGAAAGGGGCCCTGGAGGTCATCTAACCCATCCTTTGCCCAGTTCAGAAATCCTTAATGCCAGCATTCCTGATTCCTGACCATCCTGCCTCGGTTTAAACACCTCCAGCAAAGGAGTTATTCTTATCAATAAATACAGACGCAAGGGTTCGTTCATAAGTTCATCTTTCATCAATTAAGACCTATACTGAATCCTCTTTATTCATTAACGATTATGAATCATTATCAGCTGTTGACTGTTTCCTATTAACCATCACCATCGTCTGTTTATAACTGTACTGATTTTCAGACTTGCTGGAAAATTCAGTTCAGACTCCCCTTCATCTGTTCCTGACACAGAATTTATTCTTTTGCATATATTTCCCCCCTTGAGGGACATTATACCCAAACCTCCTTTTAGCAGATTGTGACGCAATGAGCTTTGCACGCTGACCAAATTTCTGCTGCGATGTCTGTCGTTTGCCTGATGATGTCATTGGGCAAGTACGGCATTTGCAGGACCAACGAAGGCATTTGGGTAACATCAGCATCACCCCAATGACCCAGTTGGACCCAAACGATATCACGTTTGGCCTTTGAGTAAATCCTCACGAGTTTACGGACATTAATTAAGAGAAGCAGTTTGGTGTAGTGGTTAAGGCATCAGGCTAGAAACCAGGAGACCCTGAGTTTGAGTCCCGCCTTAGGCATGAAGCCAGTTGGGTGGCCTCGGGCCAGTCACTCTGACTCAGCCCTAGGAAGGAGGCAACGGCAAACCCCTCCTGAAATCTTACCAAGAAAACTGGAGGGACTTGTCCAGGCAGTCTCCAGGAGTCAAGACTGACTCAAAGGAATTAAAAAAAAAAATTGGCTAATTAGTTAATTATGGATACAGGTAGCCCTCCTTTAGCAGCTGCCTCGTTCAGCGACCATTCACAGTTACAACGGTGCTGAAAAGTAGCTTACAAAAAATCCTTGCATTTACGACCTTCGCAGGTCTGTAAAATAAAGGAAAGCTGAAGTCAGATCGTAAGCCCAGTCACAGTTTCACTTAACAACCAAGTTGCCGATCCCAATTGTGGCTGCTAAAGGAGGACGACCTGTACCTGTTTCCCCCAAAGCAAGATTTCACTGAACGGTTGTGTTCCAATATGGAACACACAGATGCAATACAGAAGCAGGTGAGCTAGACGAACCTTGCAGGAGGAAACGCCTCCAACGGTGGGGCACTTACCTGGACTCTGTGATGTCTCTGAGGTTGCCCTGGCACACGTCTTCCACCTGGACGTAAACCGAGCAATTCACTTTTGTCCAGTCAGGGTCACAGACCGCCAGGAAATTGGGCCGCAGACGCCCGATCATGTACTTTGCCAAGTCGGTCAGCGACTGGCTGACCGCACTGCCGAACAGGAATGTCCCAATAACTTTGTACAGGGCAGCCAGATAATTATTAAACTGGGAGCGGGAGTACAACCGTTCTGTGTAGACCAGGTACGCCTCGCCGGCTGAAATCTAGCAAGTAGAGGAAACAACAAGAAGAAAAGCTCCAGGGACGTCCCTACACCCTCCCTCCTCAACTTCCACCCAAAAACAAGCCGATGGGGCAAGCTGGTGGTGAGGCAACTGGCCCTAAATTGTCTTGTGAGCTCCCAGGGCTGAAGGTGCATCTATGGACCCTCCTTGCTCGCTCATTTCCAATGCAAGAAGGACCAGCTGTGGTCTTAAATTAGCCAGGTTCAAGGCCCCACGCTCAGCTCCGGTTCACACCACGCGCTGAACTGGGTCCACGGTAGGGGACCCTGCAGTGTGTGAACCCGCCAACCCCGTCACTCCTGGGGAAACAGAAGGGCAACTTCCACGCAAAACTTTTCCAGTCTGAGACAAACCACTTTATCCTGTTTGGCCACTTTGGGCCAGTCCCTCTCTCTCAGCCCAGCCCACCTCACAGGGTTGTTGTGGTGGGGAAAGCAAGAGGAGGAAGGAGTACGAGGTATGTTTGCTGCCTTGAGTGAGTTATAAAAATAATAAAGGCAGGATAAAAAAAATTAATCTAATCTAATCTAATCTAATCCAATTGAGTCTGAAACTTTAATTAAGTAGGGGCAAGCTCTAGCCAGGCGGTCCATCAGGAAAAAGAGATTGAGATGTACGGTGGCTGAAAAAGACAAGATACCCAGTTCAAAACTGGCCGAAGGTTCTTGCCCCCCTCCACATTTATAAAACAATAATATAGAGGAGGCGTTGGTGTTAAGCTCAAACATTTATGTTTCTTTTCATATCATCCAAACCATTAAATACACTCTGCTCAGTATCTTTTACTAATGTTATATTGAGCAATAATTGTATATCCTCAGTAATTATCTGTTCATTCACACTTAATATCTTTTTGGAAAATACACCTTTGTTTCAAATCAGACAAAAGGATTATAATAAACCCAAACCAAAAAGAAAAAAAAAATCCAAGCACAAAGGACAGTTGGTGTACTTCTTAAAAGAGGGAAATGAAGATCTCTCTCTAGCTATCCATTCCTGTATATGCTGTATTATTGTTAAATAAAGTTTTAACTGTTTTATTTTTTTAAAAAAACTGGCTACAGGTAATGTAGCAGTCCTTCATTAATTCTTGGGCTGGCAGATCCGAGAATAAGGAAAGCATCATGACCTTCCCTGGATCAGTTTCTCAGAAGAGGGGCCAAGTAAAAACTAGCCATAAATTTGAAAGATGGGAAAGAAAAGGAAATTTTTCCAAATGTGACAAATAGACTTTCCATCTCATCTGATAAAAGAGTCCTTAGCTCAATGTTTCTCAACCTTGGCCACTTGAAGAAGTGTGGACTTCAACTCCCAGAATTCCACACAGCTTGAAGAAGTGTGGACTTCAACTCCCAGAGTTCCACACAGCTTGAAGAAGTGTGGACTTCAACTCCCAGAGTTCCACACAGCTTGAAGAAGTGTGGACTTCAACTCCCAGAATTCCACACAGCTTGAAGATGTGTGGACTTCAACTCCCAGAGTTCCACACAGCTTGAAGATGTGTGGACTTCAACTCCCAGAATTCCCTAGCCAGCTATGCTGGCTGGGGAATTCTGGGAGTTGAAGTCCACACTTCTTCAAGTTGCCAAGATTGAGAAACACTGCCTTACCCTGTCAATCTGAGATGATGCTCAAAAAACTTAACAAAATTCCATAATAATGGGCTGGAGACTTGCTCATTCAATTCTCAAGATTTCTATTTTCTTTTTCCCTGAGTTAAACCCAATGAATGAAACTGTGCAAATCTTTTATTATTAGTATTATTTTACATGTA